TTTATACAGCTGTTTACAGAATAGGTTTTTCAGCTCTTTCAACAACATTTAGACTACAATGCAGATCTTAGACTATGTTTTCATCATACAGTGAAGTTCACACAGTATCTTAGTATTAAAAGGTATTTTTTGAGGCACCATATACACATCTACACTGATCATGCTAAAACACAGACAAAATAAATCAAATGTTACATTAGAGTATGTAAAATGATTAATCTTCTCATTTGTTTTGTTTTTGCCCAACACCAAGAGTACTGTTTCCCACTTAATCACTTAAAATTAATAAACTTATTCCAATTATTCTTAATTTATTAAAGAAAACATTTTAATCAATAACTGGAATTAAGTTATATATATTAAATAGATATTAAAACATTAAAAATGATTTCATAAGCATTTCAGCTAATTTGTTTTGCAAATATTTTGTCACTTTTAAGCTACAGAAAAGGCTTGGTTTCCAGCACCTGTAAGCTGGTTGCCCACTAACATATCAGTATAAGACTAAAGTTCACAACAGCTGCCGTTGAACAAAGTACTGGAGATGTAAGTGGAAAAACTAGACTGTGGTCAGAAAATAAGTCTCCTGAACTTTATGATCCTGCTTATCTCTGCAACTTACAGGATAGAAAACTAAACTGGGGAAAAACAGAACAAACGGCCTTAGGAGGTTAGAAAAGCCCACCTGGCGGACAGGTGTTGAGGAAGCCACATGCCTGGGTTATGGATTAACAGCTCGTATCAGACACTCAGGGCTGCTGCACACACCTTTACAACAAGGCACAGGCAGGGCAGGAGACAGGTGCAATTTCTGTGCTGAGGCAGCCAAAGAGCTCTGATTGAATTACTCTGCAAAGAAAGAGTGGGTTTAGGTAGGAAACTTAATTATAGCAAGTATGGCAGGTAGCTCCTAGCACAAGGTGGTGGATCGAAGGCAACAAACCACCATTCTTCACAGCCTCCTGTTAGCTACTTTGATCTGAAGCTGTATTGTGTGGATTCTACACCTTTTTTTCCCTGGGTACAAAAAAGATCTCCTCCCCTCACGAAAGTAAGCAATAATTGTTTTTTGGGTTCTTTTCAGTCAGGTCCTTTAATTATCTGGGCTGCAGGAAATCAAATCCTTACATTTTCAGGTGAAACCTAAGAGCCAGTCAGGTATGGTTTCAAGAAAAAAAAAAGACTGGATGCCTTAAATGAAGCACCCACCTTCAGTGTGAACACAAGGATATGGAATACATGGACGGAGATCACTACTCTTGAGCCAGACGATTGAGTTATTGAATTTTATGACCATTGAAGAAAGCGAAATGACCAAGAAGGAAAGTGGAGTTCAAGTGAAATTGTTTTTGTTCAGTTTATGAACAAAAGTTTTATGAGCCCCAGAGAAAAACATGAAAAAACAATACATTATTTTGGGAGAGGAGAGATCGTCCTCTTTGTGTCATCATGAATGCGTACATTTGCAAGCCTTGATCAGTTTAGTCTCTTCTCACAGATTCCCAGTTCTGGTGGCTGTAAATTCAGGTTACAAGCATGTGTTGCTTGGGTTTTTGCAAAGCACTGCAACTATGCCCCTTGTCTGGGTTACTAAACCAGATCACTTTTGGAGTGATGTAGGTAGCTTTAATGAATCATTCTGGATTAAATTAAAGTCTGTGTGTAACTGTTTTGCCTGAGAATGAAGGTTTACAATAAACATCTAACATTTAAATTGTTCCTAACAGAAAACCCGTGAATTATTTGCATATGTACATTCCAATAACTTTTTGGTAAGTAAATGTGAAAAACAGTGTGTGATGAACTTTGAAAGCCATTGAAAAAATGTCCAGCCTGTCAGCTGTTCAGCAATATGCCCTTTATAATGACACTGAATACACACACCTTAAACAGATATCCTGGCAGCTGGCCTTTAAACTGGAAAACACCTATCAGAACAATTAATGATAACACGCTATTCAACTGGACTGGTCAAAGACGCTGAACAGCTGCTGTCCTGCCTTGGCAAATCACAGTTACAGCAAAGCAGGCAGGTTACAGCAAGACCCACTTCTCAGAAACAGCCATGTCCTGGTATTTCAGTGGTTGATGGCCTTTGGCAGACCTGGATTTCAGTAAGAGCCTTTGCTCCTAACTGAAAGGTCAGCAAACAAGATGGCCATCAACTAACAGTCAGTAGTCAAAACAAAAAAATGTTTAAAACTTTGCATCAGGCTGTAAAGATGTTCCATTATTTCAAAGTGGCAATGGACTGAGACATGTTTTGTTCTTCTTTAATTGTTATGTATTAAATATGAGGATGTTTATTTTTTGCATCTGTTGTGAAAAACCTATGAGATTACAGGTATTACAAGTATTGCAACTTCTGCCTCCAAATATGTTTTTAAATACTCAAGAGTAGTAGCATAAGTAGCTCAATTTTTCCTCAGGTAGAAAGAAGTAGCTATAATTTCCATTTAATTAACAAATGTTAGATACATGGCCGTTTATACAGTGAGTATGTATATATACAGGTATATCTTGTGATTTGAGTTTCTTAAACCACCAAGGCAAATAGATTTGGAAGCTACTGTACATTGAGATTAAATACATAGGACAAAGAAACACCTCTGTGTTCATTGTTCACAGATAAATACATTTTGTAATATATATTTAAAAGTGCAATCCTGGAAACAAAGGGTGCCAGTGCTTATAAATGCCACTTCATTTTAAAGGATAGTGTGAAGAAAACAATGTTAATTTGCATCTTTCAAATAAATTATTGCTCCACAGTGGATTTGGTCTCTATGGGATACAAAATTGGAATTTGAACACCTTGGATACTCTTCATGAAGCACCGGTGCATTCTTTTTGTTGTTGCCATGAGTCTTCTGCAAAACTTACAGTATTAAATCATTTTAAAAATGACATGCAGATAACAAATATCATATGGGATAGAGAGTTTTTTTTTTAAGTTCTACGCTATGAGGGCTTTGTTATCTCACCTGTTGTTGCTGTCATCATTTTGTTCTTTTCCATATCTGTGCTGGAGATCATCAGTAAAATATAGTGTCTTTGTTTTATCAATTATAATCAGTTTACCTTTGACAAGAGATACCCAACAGCATTCAGCCCAATAGCAAGGTCTGTTTACCCAGTCTGTTGTCATCAAACAGAACAAAACCAATTCACTCTGCTGCTGGGTTAATGACTGTATATTACTCAAAGCTTTAAACATCAGCATACCCTTGTAGGTGTACAAAACTAGTATATTTTACAAAATATCAGAATATCATTCAGAATAGGGTCTCAATTAACAATAATTATCATTCTCTTTGCTCAGACCATTACTGAAATGGGAGGGCCAGAGGTGCAGGAAGGTAGACAATGATAATTAAGCTTAATAGGCTTTGAGTGTTGAGATAACTAACACCAAATTCTTTGTATACACAGATGTTTGATGAATGCACATCACTGCCTTGCTGGGTTAAAAATGAAAAGGCAAACAAACAAAAAGATAACTTTTCTTTCAAGTCTGCCCTTAGAGGACAGCCTGTTTGTCCAGCCAATTTTAAGTAAACAAGACCTGCAAAGGAAAAGTTTTTATTTACCAGTTGACTGACTCAATAACCTAATGACAGCTTTGCTCTTTACCAAAAATAGTTTAAGATAAGCCCCCACTTGCTCAATTCAGGAAGGGCTTCACAAACATCGGTATAGCCAAATTACCACATTACAGTGATCCATGCTTGGAGATTCAAATACATAATTTAAAAGGTTAGTTGCACGTGTCACGTTCTTTTCCATTTTTTTTTTGCTGTTGTTCTGGTAGATGATTAAGTCTCATGGTGTACATTTTTGTTAAGCAAATGGAATTTTTCGGGTTATGAAAGGTTCAAACAACGTCCTTCTTCAGTTATCTGCAATTCATAAGTCACATGCATGTGATTGTTGAGTGTCTTCTACAGCAACAGAAGGCGTGCCATTTTGCAGGCTGACATCTCCAGATCTGTCACTCAAAACGCAAATGTAAAAAAATCATAATGGTGCCCACACTGCAATCTGCACTGCAATATTAATCTCTGGCAGAAATAACCGTTTTAACTTCAAAGATTGTTTTGGATTGATTTAAGTGATTTATTACTCTATTTTTCTAAATCAAGAACAAACTATTAGACAGCTATTATCAAACTTTTTAAATAAGGTAATAAACTTCTCTTCAACTATCAGCACTGGTATGGAATTAAGAAATGAAATGACTCAAACTAAAACATTAATAGCATTTACCAAATTCAATAACAGCTAGTAGATCAGGACTTCTCAATCCTGATCTTGGTAATCCCAACATCCACTTTTTGTTCCAACAGAGGTACTGTTCCTTACTAAAAAGTTTTAATTGAACTAATAATTTGCTTAATCGTGTGTTTGTCACCACTTTGCTAAAGTTGCTATAAAGTTGTAGATTTTAAGCTACACTTAAAGCTTTAAGGTACACAAACAATATAATAGTTTGATTAAATCAAGTTGTTAGCTCATTTAAATGCTTAATTAAGTATAAGAGCACTCAGCAGGAAGATCAACAGATACTGGGGTCAGCAGAACCAGGAAAGAGAAGACTTGAAACAGATAATCACATCAGATTTCAGTACAGCAGCACATTCCTTAAAGCAAGAGTCTCCAATCCAGTTTTTCTAAATGGATGATATTTTAAAGATCACCTGACATTTTAAAGATCAGGAACACCTATGAAACTGGTCAATTAAGCAAAAAAGGTTTCAATGAAGAGAACACTAATCCTTAATGTCTGAAGACAAGTCTGATCTTTGGTCCACATAATCTTTTACTGATCATCGAATTAAGATTTTTACTGACCTCAGTTCAAGTTCCAGGCCAATAGAAAGGCTATCTATAAAATCTGCTGGACTGGTGCTTACCAGATTCAGCGTTGGAGACCCCTGCTTTAAAGAAATGTATTGAATTGTTTTTGGACATTTTGGTATAAAAAGGGTGCTGGACAGTAGTCATGGGGGCCAAGCTGTTTATTCAAATCAGAACTGAGAATTGTGGAATACCATCCACCATTAAAACAAAAAAGATAAAAACAACATTTTTAAGAATACATACCGCTGTATCGGACTCCTTTGTCTCATCAACACAAATATTAGTAGGTTGTTTACCACCTGAACAGACAGTGGCTTTTCCCTTTACATTTATCTGGCTATTTACCTGAGCACTCTTTCACTTCAAAGCATTTTACACTGATGTTCATCCCAAGCAATTTCTAATCATCTGTCAAACCAAACCCATACCAAGGACTTCTTTAGTAAGTAAAACTAAAACAACAACTGTATTACATTTCACATTGAAATACTATTTACATAATTATTAATAATTAATAAAATATGCTGAGCTGGCATATTAACACAATGTGCCTCAATTCAGTAATTACGTACTAAATTGATAAAGGTAGTGGTCACACAAGGACAAGAATTCCGTACAAATATTTGCAAACAAGCCTGTAAAACAGCACTTTGTCCTTGTTAAGATTTCAAATAATTCAGACACAGGGGCATACAATAATGTGAAATAAAATAGAGAGCAACACCCTCCTTACTGAACACAGAGGTGTTTGGAAAGTTTAAAACATTGCATAATTTTGTACATTGGAAGAAAAAGACTTCTGAATACTAGTCTTATAATATAAATACATACACACTCTCCCAGAATCTGGTTCAGATGTAATGGCAGCTCATTCAGATACTGGTATTCTTTTGTAACTTAAAACTAAATGCACCCGCCTTTAAAGGTGCTGTGATTCTTATTGCACCCTTAACGCTTGAAGGTGAAACACACAGGATCCTCTGCAGATTCTTTAAATGCTCCAAAGCTTCAGGAATTTGCTTCACTAACTAGTGTATCACTGCCAAACTCTCAACTTAAGAATGTAACTATGAGAAAGCAGAAGCTTCAAGGTCATGTTTTCAAAGGCTGTTGCCCCTTCATTCACAGACAGGCATGAGTATTAAAGGAGTGCACGTTTCCCCCTCTTCTGGCCATTACAAGTATGTACTGTTTGCAATAGATCCCCCTGGTCCCCATTCATAAATAAGGCAAACTTTGTAAGTTTGGAGTGCAATGTAACTTTCTTCTCTAGTATGAGAGTAAGAGGAAAGTAAACTTGAATATGTCCACTACCTTCCACCTACTGTATCTACTGATCAGTAATGAGCCTGTGGCCCTGCAGCCCAGTAGATACGGAAAACTGCCACAGGAGTTTTCTAAGAACCCCAAAAGGGCAAAAATGGTTCCTTTGATTTTGTTCTTAGCTGTGAACAGCAGCTTACTCAAGGGACATCATCTTCCTTTACGTGACTCCTTCCAGAACATGAAATGTTAACGTTCGGTAAAAGGCGCCAAACAAACAGGCTGAAATTTGCCCAATCCTCTCTGAAAGCCACGAATTGTCTCCAGCGTTGCATCACATGAGATGGAGATGAGGATGCTGATGAAGTCTGGACACAAGTTCCTCCTCTGTAGGCTCCTGTATGTGTTCTCTAAAAAGAGATGTGAACAGGAAACACATCAGATGTGATGAACTCTCCTCACTTGTAACCAAAGTAATATCTGGATTGACCATTTGTACAGACTAATTTGTCAAACACTCATAGAAAGCAATTTCTAAGAAACAAATTGAAGAGCAGTGGTACAGTAGCTAATGAACTCGTAAAAATAAGCAGTTGTATTTGTATAAACAAAGTGAGTCATCCAAGAACAGTAGCTCACCTGAACATTAGCTGCACAGTTGTCTCATATCCAGTCTGCTCAACTTCAGCAATGGAACACTGGTGACTTCTGTCCCACTTGTAAATGAAATTCTGTTTTGTGTTGGAAGAAAACAGCATTTTTTTAATGAGTAACACATTTCAGAAACAATACACCAATCTCAGATAGATATTGAGATTGGGCGGGGGGATTTGCTGTCAAGTAGTGATTACAGAAAGAGGTCTTACCTCCAAAATCAACGCCACAAACAGGTTCACCCACATGACAGAGGAAGTCAACCACCAAGCTACAAAGTACAATTTGGACCACCTGGGCAAATAAAAACACCACTTCATTAAAACATTGTAACACTGTCATACAAGCTCTTTGCTACACAACCACAGACCTGCATTGGTATGAACTATAAGACTGCTTTCACGGTAATCACTGTTGCTAAAATACAATAACAGAGCAACAGAAATCCCCTTCATAAGGAAAATGAGAAGCTAGTCACTGTTGTCACGGACGTCCAAAGGGACTAACCGTGGGGAGCAGGAGAGCAGAAAAAGACCCATATGCGTAGCGGGAAAGACGGGAAAAAGGCCCGGGCTCATTAGTGCAAAGAGTTCAGGAATGCCTTATAGAAACCTATGCCCTCAGGGAGCGGACGTAGGGCACCCTGGTGCTAGGCGGGTCTCAGGACATCCGAACCTCAATGCTGAGCGAGGACAGAGTGCAAGACCCAGAAATATATAGCCCAAGGGAAAGAGAGGGACAGGAAGGACAGCAGACCGGAAACTAGGGACAGGACAGAGAAGGAGCGCCCTCTGGCTGCAGAGGGCGTGACAACTGTGACAGATTAAACTGATACCGATTCTGAAAAGACTTCATGTGGGCATGAAGAGGCATAATAATTAAGGGAGTTAACTTTAAAGATGTAGTCATGATAAGGCATTCATTCTTGCCTTCTGCCATAAGACTGTACAATGCATCCACCTTGCGTCTTGGCAGAGGCAACATCGATAGTGACCTGTTTCTGGACTAAACGCATCTACACATCTACTGCTACATCTGTTCTCTTTCTTTTTCTTTTTCTTTTTCCCATTTACAACCATTTTTTGTGCAATATATGCCAGGGACCTGTGCAATACATTTATATTTATATCTATATTTTCAACTATATTTATATTCATATGTGTGATACGATTTTTCTGTGTACTGTTCTGTTCTAGTTTGTTCTTGTGTGTCCAGACTGTGAGTAACTCTTGTATTGTATGTATTGTACTATTATTATATAATTCGTTACACTGTGGCTGTGTTTTGTGTGTTATGCTGCTGTTGCACTGCAATTTCCCTCATGGGATCAATAAAGTATCTATCTACTGTATCTATGATACAAAGAACAAGCAAGTAGATGACTCTTGCAATGTCTGCAAGCAAACTGCACTGTTCATGACAGGAGAGAACGGTGGGGACTTACGGGGAAGAGTATCGGGCGTAGACTTCCATGAAGACCTGCCAGTTGTTCACCACCATGATGTTATATAAAAGCACCAGAGTGGCCTGAACAAAAAAGGGCAGACAAAATAAAGACATAAATGTCACTGTTCGCTCAAGTATACTTCTGCTTACATAAACATGTTTGAATAAAAGCACAAAAAGCAAGAAAAAACTGCTGTCTGTGGAAAACCCTGCTGTGTGGAAACAATGCCTTGTGATGTGCAACACTGTGGATTGTGGATGTATTTTTTTTCTTCAGAACTGCCGTGAAACATGTAGTTTTGCTGCTTTGACACTTTTTTAACCTAAGGTTATGGAATATCCAGACTGGAAAACTCTTACATCTCACCTTTTTCGGCAGCTTTTTCTATACGCTTTTGAATCTGAATCTGAAAACTACTTATTAAGGGATATGGTACTGTGTGTCATTATATGCGTTTAAAATGGAACTCAACTAAACCAAATATCATATTGAATTATGAATAGTTATGTGGGTGTGCTCTTTTTTCTTCTTTAGAATAAAAGCACAATTCTTTTGGGGCAAAGCCATTGAAACCCTGTTTTGTTTATTTAACAATCTTCATTTAAAAGAGCTTTCATAATTCATTAATATAGACCTGAAAACAGGCATATTAAAAGCTAAGATTAGGCATACCATCATGTGTATGTACATACTGTAGTAAGTGGAGGCTGAAGTATACAATTGTCACAGATATTCAAACATTCATCAGTATATCTCACAAAAAAATGTTTGTTCTTCCTGTGGTCTAATAAAAAACCCCTTGAGCAGATTGTCTAAAGCAGTCATTATTGTGCAGGTACCTTAATTGTCCTGTTCACATGACATCCAGTGTGAAAAGTGGTAAGATAAAGGATTGTACTACATCATTAAGAAACATCAGTACTCACAGCAAAGTCATCGAAGTTATTTGGCCAGTACCCCAGTTGTTCATAAGTCCCGCATAGTTCTGTATAGTTAACAGAGCTGTTTAAAACCTTAGCATCAGTGATCACACTAGAAAAAAAAAAGTTGATTACTTCACCCTTCCGAAATACTCATTTAGAAGCAAAATATTATAACATATGTCTGGAACCATCTGTTCTCATTAGTTTCAGAATTTGCATTTTACATTTAAGGGTTGAATGTCCTGATGTCCTGAAAGCCCATGATAGTTCAGTACAGGTTTCCAAGTTTATCTGGACAGCCATCTGGAGAGATTATAGTCAATGCCTACTCTTCTCTAAAATACAATCATTTTAAAGGGCTTTTTTAATCTAAGCATGGCCCCGGCAAGCCACTGATGTAACCATAAATTTCAAGACAAGGATGTAACATCTATTTTAACACAGAATGTAAAAGGGCATACGTACTGCAGGAATATTTTAAAAACTCAATCTCTAATGTATTTAATAATGTCCAGCTGTTCACAAATGTAACAGATTCTCTCAGCCAGTTTAACTGGTCAATGTCAGAGTCAACAACAGGTGTAATGCCTCCTTTCTTAACAAAGAAACCAAATTCCACATACTGGCTACCTTTTAATATCTTCACAATATTATTTTTGCAAAACATAGAACTGGCTCAAATATAAAGCAGAGCGGGTGTTGGTCATCTATGACTGAAAGGAAGGTAGATAAATGAACATTCAAATGTCTTTTTCTTAAGCAAGGAATTCCACAGTGACCTTTACATTTCTGTCTGACAAACATGAGTTACAGAGATGTAATGGCAGTACTGCCACAATGAGATACAAGTCTTACCTCATATTCCCAGGGACTGTAATAGCACCTTGGAACATAATTAGGCCAAAGACGGCAAACACATAGTACACCACCTTCAAAAAAAATGAAATATAATCATTATTAGTCATAGTACAATTCAAAAAACATTTTTGTAATATTAAAAAGTATAATTAGTCAGTCATTTACCTTATGAATCAGATATCCCACCCTAGACTGTCATTTTTAAAAGTCTGAGAGTGCATTGTGAAATTGTCTATACAGTAAGGATTTCACTCTCTTCATATTGCAGAGGTAATATGGCCTGAAATAACAATCACTCACCACTAAGATGCCAGCAAATGCCCTCAGATTCTTCACAAGGTCAAACAGTGTGCTTGCTACAAGGGTCATTAGCTACAGTGAAGCAGAAACAAATACTTATTACATATGCACATACATACTGTAGTTATAAGCAGACAAAACTAAATACTTTTGCTATTTGAATATGTATCCCAGACAGCAAACTAACACTCTGCACCTGCATAAATTGTTATGTGCAAAGGAAGTGTGTAGAAGTAAAGGTTAATTCCCCACTGAAAAGTAGAAAGAAGAATATTTTAGCTGTAGAGTCTTCTCCTCTCAGACCATATATATTTTTTTACTTTTCAGAATTAACCTTTACTTGTTCCTTTGCCACCAAAACAGGCCAACACAGCTGTTAGTTCAAACCTCCAGAATATTATATGCTCCCTCACAAGTAACAAAGGCCATTGGAAATCTCATCAATGACCAAAAACCCCAGGTAAGGTAAGCATCAGCTGAAGAGCAAATACTTGCAGTGACTCGAATTTCCCACAAGAGGGAGGCAGAGACAATAAATGATAAAAGCAGTCAAGCAAGCTGTTGAGCAGATGAGAAGTGTCCTCTACACAACAGAGCAGAAAAAGAAGGCTGCAGGTCTGATTCTCTCTTGCAATGCCCCATGGACATAGACACATTTCCCCCACTATGCTGCATTCTATTAACGAGCAAGAGAACAAAGTGCCTAAATGGTTTAGTACAGACAAAAGAAAAAGATTTGCCATATAAGCTAGAAATCAAGACACATCTGCATATTGAATCTGGAGACCTTGATGTTTGGGATGACACGCAGGAACCGGAAGACAATCAGCATGTTCGCCAAACGCACCATCTCCCACAATGAGAGGAAGCCGCGCATGGCTGGATTCCTGCAGGAGAAGAGCGGAAAGGTTCAAGCTTGTTGATCCCAAAGCCTCTCAGACTACAAAGTGAACTAATCAAAGCACAGTTGATTCCTCAAAAAAGGGAGAAAATCATCAGTAAAGAAACCGTAAACTCCAGGTGTCTTTATCACTCCCTTATTAACTTAGTGGTATTTGAAAATCCCATCAGCCTGTACACAAATGTTTTGGAAGATGGCATACAATGGCATTATAATAACAGCTGTTGCCGTAAACTATATATAAGAAGTATTTTGCATTCTTTTCTGCTCATGTCATACTGATTCTCATGTGGTTGAGAAAAATAACATTTGCACTCCTTAGCAACGCTACTCTTGCAGTCATTGGTGAGTACAGCTACTGTACTTTGTGCAAACAAGGAATTAGAAACCAGCAGTCACTGAAAGAGGAAGCATGCCAGGATCTCAGTGTGTTGTCATTCTCTGCTGCAACAATAACCTGCTTTTTACAGCACTGCAACTTTGTAAGATTAAATGCTGTAATCTACATGACAAACAGCATGGCGCTCTCTTCACATTCTTAGTCAGGTCTTATTTTGCTGCGTGATGGTCCATTTTAAGATAAATTCCAACATGTGAATTGATTTTGCAGAACAGAGTTGTGCTGATGTGCTTTACACAGACGAAGCACAAAGCTTAAGATTTCAGTTTAAAGATAGCACTTACCACTTAGGATGTGGAAGTCTGTATGTAACAAAAATGGAAATCTGGAGAGCCTTTCACATAGACAAAGAAAACAAAAACAAATGTTTATCAGTAAAACATCCTTGCAATGAATACAAAAGCCTTCTTCTTTACCCACAGCCAGCTCTCCTGCAAAGCTACAGCAGTTTTAGAATGTCATTCTAGATTCCAATAATATGGATAACACAGGTTTTGTTTTTTGACTGTATTCAATAACGTTTCATGATATTAATTTATTTAACTGATTTATCTGCTGAGAATTTCTCAGATACTGCTTCTATAGCTGCAATATGTAAACACAAAAATATTAAGTTCAGTGACCCACTCCCCAAATGCTGAGTTAACTTAATTGAATTAATAACTCCGTTTTTTGTCTTTAAATTCCCATTGTGTCCAGGTTTTGATTCACTGCAGAGATTAGACTGTAGAATCAACAAAGCTTTCAACTATTAACACAATGCAAATAAGTTAAAAAACAATGTGGACATACTTACCAGGAGGGACAGAGTCAAAAGACCATCAAATATATTACTGTGGTAGGATAAGTAGCCTTTCCACCCAAAGGCAAATATCTTCAGAACCATTTCAAGCAGGTAATATACAATGAAGACACAATTCATAGCCTTTGAAAAGAAAAAAAAATGGAAGGTGTTTTAAACATTTGTAGGCTGATCTTACTTTTCAAAATGGGCAGTTTTACATTCAGTTTCAGAGAGACCCATTTCTAAAGTGAAAAAAGTACTTGAGCCTCCAAAGAAGAAGAAGCAGACATCTAAAATGTGACTTCAAAGTGAGTGAAACTTTATTCAAGTAGTGCATTATCTGTCAAGAACCACAGATACACAGAAAGTTCTATGCATGTTCAAGGAATTCAAACATTTATGGAAGAATTCTTAAGAAAGGTATAGGGATATTACATTTTTATATCCTTACAAACATAAAGACATGTATGAACCACAAAAATGGAATGATGTTTAGTTTTCTGAATCAATGTTAAAATAAAACCAAAAAACAAACCTACTGAAAATAACTTTCTCAACCAGGGCAAAAACAGAATTGTGCCTTTACAGGCCAACAAAAAAAATCTTTGTATTAATTTAAGTTTTGCAATGGAAGACAGTGTTCCTTACCCCCAGAAGGTAATCGTCTCGTTCTGAAAGGGCTTTATCCGAGTCGATCACCAGAATAGTCTACATGACAAAGGTGCAATACAATTACTTTCACACATCCAAATTCCAGTTAGACGCAGACTAGCATTTCATTTACATTAAAAATAAATTAAAGTTGAAGTCTCTCAATATTTCAAATCAAACTGACGTAAGCCATTACTTTGTAATTCAGAGAATTATACATGCAAAAATGGAAATCTAAAACACGTTTTAGGATACATTTGCACTGTTTGCATTGCACCTTGCCTGCATACTTACACAAATACACACAACGTTGGCAAGGGCAACTAGGTTTCCCAACAGACTGAAGCAGTAATGGCTGAAGATGGACTGTAGCTTCTGAAGAATAGGGTAGCTGTATCCTGGTATGGGAGGGTGCTGGAAAAACAAAAGCCAAGCATGCTTACTAAGTTACTTCATTACCATCATGGTTTACTCATTCAACCTTGTCATGCTCTCACACAAAACTCTCTAGATATGTAACTCCAGAAACATGATACTCAAAAGTTTAGGCTGGGCAACAGAGCTCCAGAAAATATCAGGAAACAGACCATGTCAGGCACTTTCAAATTAGGCATAACTGTACTCTTACACTGCATACCTCTTTGATCTGGTCCTTATCAAGCTCATCAAACAGCTTTTGAAATTCCTCAGCTGGGATAAATCCATCAGGAAACTGCTGAATTCTCTGGAAAAAAAGACCGTCAAACTATTAAGTCATTTACCTTGAAAACAAATATCTTCACATACAAAGAGCTACCTATAATAATCAGAAATTTCGACTTGACACAAGACAGGACGACTAATTAATGAACATCTTTGCTCACCCAGATGATGGCCTTTCTGCAGTAGGTCTTCATCTGTACCCTTCTGACAACCTGCAGCACCAACTCAGACGGGATGGTTTCACTTGAAGAACACAACAAAACCAAACCATAAGAGAGGCCAGGTCATGAACAAATACACTCAGACACACTGCTGTGCTAATGTCTTAGCATTTTGCATTGTTCTATTCCATAAGTTTACTTTCTTATACAAATTTCTGTGGTGTTCATTTACTAATATTGTAGCCATTTTGCTTTAAGAAAACAGATCCTGATAGATTTGTATTTTGTTACTTTTAACTTTACGGAATGTAGAAAGAAACAAGTTATTGAGGAAGACCTGTCAATGTGTTGATTTGATGTGAGTGATAAATGTAATGCTTTATTGGCAACAATACTTTATTTCAGCCACTTGTGTATCTTTGGTCTTGAGTTAGTGTGTTCACGTTTTTGAAGATTTTCACCAAAGTTGATTAAAGACTGCTAAATGACTAGACTGACTTCTTCTCACCCAAACTAAGCTTTGAGTAAACTGTTGTTGCTTATTATATGTATTGTATCATATCCCCAAGCTTCATGTAAGATGTGTCAGAAGACTTAAGACTATTCAACAGTGAATATATTTACACAACATCTTCAGAAACCTGTTTCTACAAAAAGTATTGTACAATTTTTGCAAATTATTCAAAAAAAATTAATGCTGCGCTTTCTAAGCATGATATAAACGTGTGGATCACATTGTGATAATATATTGCAACAAACTAAGGTTTATAATACCCCTGGAAACAGAAAGAACAGCTTACAAAATTCCAAAAAAAGACACTGAAACTAGCCACTGGGAGTCTCTATTGGGATTCTGAAAAATTAAGGTGAGACTTTACAACATCCAGTGCTTCACAACTGGGAAGTCTAGTGTAAGCTTAGCATGGTAGTACTGTAGGTGTTGGAGATGTGGAGACTTGTCTTACACATGTTGAGTGCTGCCAGCCTTCGACTGCCGCTGGCAGCATAAGACTTCAAACGCCGCCCTGATACCCAAGCGCCTCCTCAAGATGGATGTTTGAATGGAGATCTTCAAAGAAAAACAGACAACCATGAGACACAAGAGCACATCCCTAGCAGAGGGGGCACCCTGGGTTCACAAAATCACAGATGCTGCCGGGTCTGTCAAAGTTCCCATGAGATCTGGCAAACCTTCCTGGTGTGTTTTGCACCTTATTAAGCCTTTTAAATCATGATGAAAAACCCAGTCTTGTATGGTCTGTTCCAGGATATTCAAAGCCAATGAGTTCAACATGAAACAGACTAATCTGTCTGGAAAGCAAACAATTACTTTACAAAAGCAGAAACTAACCATTAAGTATCCCCTGAACTGGTTGTATATGATGGCTGTCAGGAGGTTCATCAAGAAATACGTCCCTAAAAGAAAATGGGAAGGAGTCAATGAAAAATAATCTCCATTATTTACAGTACATGCAGTACAGAACGTCAGATACTGCAACAATCTATCAGAGTACATATGAATCAGGTACTCCGTTTCAACAGTATCAACAGTTTTAGTGGTAACAAAAATCTCTAGTTTTGAAAGCTACGGTATTGACAGCAGTGCTACTGCTTTGTACTTAATCTTGTCACAATCCAGAAGCTAAGTAAGGCTGGGACCAATGTCTCAGCATGGTGACCAGAGACACAGTCTTTCGAATAAGGCAATCTGTCTTACTTAAAGGCTTCTTCATTAATTCCAATGGTTAAATAATTTTTCACTTTTCTGTGTGATCTGCTGCACACAGTGCAGTGAATGCTGCACTCCAGTTGTGAATTAAGTGGCTCCTCCCTGTATGTGAACTGTTGTGGGATCCTTTCAGGATGAAAATCACAATACAAATGCAAGCAATTGTTATTAATTTTGAAAAATACAGCTATGCTATCTAATGTAAAATTCCACTGGTTTAAGAGTCTGCCCTGTAGATTTAGATTATCCACACTCACCAAAGCCACAGAAGAGAATGAAGAAAATAGAATATCCTCTATTCACTGAATAGGCTGGGATCATCACTGTTGACAGAAAGAAGCCATAAATAAAAATCTGTGTAACCCTACAAAGTTCTACAACGAGCTATGGACACACTTCCAAGACATCACAACTCTCAGCAACACTACAGGGCATGTCAGAAACCACCATTAGGAATGGATTAAGAGCCAGGTCAAATTTATATCTTCCTTAGATTCTTGCACATTCAATGCTGATACTATTAACAGCTTTCCGTATGTGAAGCTCTGTGTCCACTGCAGAGTTATATAATCTGTACACGGAAAAAAAGTCTGTACACTATTCCCCATTCCAAAATGTAACATTTCCACAAAATATGACAGTCTGAAGCATTGTTTGATTACACATTACAGATAGTAGGTTATAGCACAAACATTCATGTCAAGCCTTAATATTGTTGTGTTTTTGTCTTACTAATTGGTTGCACATTGCTGAAATATACCAGTGCTGAATGTTTATATTATCAAGGAATAGCCTGTGGCCTTCAGCCTGTGGCACTGACATAACTAAATGAAAATCTTAATCAGTTAAGAGCCTGATTTTTCCAACCAGCCTGAAACGATAACAGACCTCAAGAGAACAAACTCACCATCAGGGTTGTTTGCAGTGGTCAGAAGTACAAGCAAAGATGTGAGGGACTGTGGCAGGTTTCTGAAATAAGACTCCCATTCACCATTATGATTTGGATCCTGGACAAAACAAAAAAGGATGCTTCAAAACCTCATTTAGTTATTTTAAATCAACAATGCAATACATTTCCCAGTTGGTGTTGCTATGACATTAATGGGACATGCATCCCTCCCAATGTGAAACCCCCCGCCCCCAAACAACATGTGAACAAAACTTATAAGTCACCAATAATACTTACTTACTTAATCAGTAAGTTGCTACTTTTTAGGGAACTGTTTGAAGTTATTTAACATTTTAAAATGCTCTTAATAGTCTCTTAGACTGACATAGCATTGCCCATTTCTCTACCACAGCACTAAATAGACACCAGTGGTAAAACTATCTCTGACAACGAAGAATACTAAAGAAAGCTTGTTATATGGTTTAGCGATAAAGTAATGAAACAATATGATGAGTTATAAAGGCATATGCACTTCAAGAGCAGTTAGACCTTGATTGGAAAACCAATGCAAATAGTTCTAATGCAGACTGCACATTAGAAGGACTGAATTTCTAAGGCCAACAAACTTCTTCATTAAAGAAAACATCAACATTCTCTCCATGTCACCTTCATTAGTTAGTCCACAACAAGACTGTCGTTCAAGACCAAAATCCCAAGCTCACCTTTCCCCTGGCGAAAAGCAGCATCCCAAACATGGTGAAGAGACACAAGTGGAGGCCTAGGAGAAGAAAAACACTGGAAAAAGAGAATGAAGAGACTGTTTAAATAAATTAAAAAATATTAATATAACTCCACTTTCCCTAACAATAGAGAGCTAATATAGAGCTAAGAAAGCACAACTAGAATTCTCTGAAATATGAAAATTACCTTGCTATTTCTGGCAGGGTTCTCCTGATGCACTTTAAGGTTTTCTTCATGAGAGATGAGTTTTGGAGAAGAAAGAATGGACGAAGGACTCTTCTCAGTCTTAACGTCTGCAATATAAACAATAACACAATCTTTAAAAAAGATGCCTATGGAAACTGGATTTATACGTTTTCATACAGGTTCATATTCTTAAGACATGGAGCAATATGGAAGTAAGAAACTGTCTGTTGCAGAAAACTAATGGCAATTTCTTACACTTAAATAGCACTTTTTGATTCTAAAGTACCTCAGAGCCGTTTATTTACAGGAGAGGACTATCCTCATTCACCACTGAAGTATAACACCCACCTGGGTGATGTCTAACAGCCAACAGCCCCACTGTACAGCAGATGAGGTGGAGAGTGCTTCACCAATTGAATAAAAGATCAATTTTAGGAAGGCCAGATTGCACAAGGCCTGACTGGAAAACAGCCAGGGCACTGGGGAACTGCAGTACTCTTATGAACAATGCAATGAGGTCTTTAACAAACTAGTAGTCAGGATTGCAGTAAATGATTTATTGAAAGGACAGTATCTCCAGCAGCACAGTGTCCCCAGTCACCATTCTTGGGCATTGGTTTAGAAATTTTGGACCAAAAGAGTGCCACCCTACTGGTGGCACCTACCACCTCTTGCAGCAGCAACCTGATTTGCTTGGATTTCTCCTATCCAAATACTGCCAAGATACTAATTAAAACAATGGAAGTTAAACTGCATGTATGAATTCCCTGGTGACTTTTGTAATTGACTCTTGTCAATTACAGCTATCACAACAGGTACAGTATGTGTGTTGCTGAGGTTGAAAGGCATGTTCTGTTGAAACAAATTACACTCCTGAGTAGTGACTATGTTTGATTGAGAGGAATCAAATTTAGTTATAAAAAAATAATAATCTCATCATCTAAAACGGAATCTGAATTATGTTAACATCGAATATAAAGAGGTTGGAAAAAAGCTGTTCTCACCTCATCACAACAGAAACAGATTGATACCGTCCAATCCACAACAGACATAGAAATGACCAATATGTATGCAATCAGCCACTTGTTCTTCTGAAACTCTTCCCATCCGATCAAATAACTCTGGAAAACAGCAAAGAGCAATACAATAATTATTTTCATAAGAAAACTATTTTAACACTCCTTTGTCCTCTAAAGTTGAACCATCACTCTTGAGAAGACGGCAAGCTTAAAATTTCTAAAAATTATATTTTACAGCAGTTCTGGTAGATTTTTAATCTGTCTTCAAGATGATACACAGTATCGGGAATGACCCAGCAAGTTTTATCAACAGTTTCTAAAGGTCTGGAAGAAATTTTGTTTTTAACGTATTTAGAAATGTTTAGGAAAACAATACTTTACTATACAAATGACCTGCCTATGTGGTATATTGTTTCACATCTGTAGAAACTAATGATTGTAAAGGGGAACTATAAAAAAACGGTGAAGCCTACCACTCCAGGCCCGGTCACCCCTGCCTCATGTGTTTCAAAAACCTTTAAGACCGTACTGTTCCCTTGTTCTATGGAAAATGGTTCCCCCGTTACCTTTATTATTTCTATAGGAAACAATTCCCTGTAACTGGTTACCTTCACAGTTAGGTCCACCATAAAGATGACAAAGCAGACCATCTCTATGCCCTCAGTCAACCCACAAGGAGGCTCCCAGGCTGGCTGTCTGTAGCGCAGGTCTGATGTTACTGTCAGTGACGAAGGTTTCTCGATAAAAGCCAGAGCCAAAATGACTGTAATAGTAGCACCTAGCCCCCTGTGTGCAGAATATATATTTTATTAAAACTTTTTTTTATATACAGGTCAACAGGAAAAACAAATTAAAATCAATCCATTTGTAAAAATCAGAAGCAAAGGCAGCCCAGATGAGTGCGATAAACCCATAACCCTCAGGAGCAGGAACCCACCAGCAAATTGTTTACAAGAATAAAACAGTTGTGAGAATGATGGCATCTCAGTCAAGTGTGGGAAAGCCTTCACCCCAAAAGCCAATGAACACTCGATGACTCTTACCATTGGCAGACCTTGGAGTAGTACCATCTGTAAAGCCTCAGTGATCCGGAATCCACTCTGTGATTAATCGATCGGTACTGCAAAGCAAAAAGTAGACTAAAATCTATGTACAAAAGTCACCACTCCCGAAAGTTACTTCCATTACTCAGTGCAATCCATACACAATGCTCTTAAACAATGGCCAGATATTAATTTGGACTGCACAAGGAGACAAATTAATCAATGGCACTCTGAAAAAATCAAACAAACTACTTAAAAATGGAAGACTGGTCCTTACCGATTGAGTTATTAAAAGAAATTGCATGGTTTCTTCCAATTTAGAAAATAAAAAAACTCACCTGTATAGCATCTTCAATGAACACAATTGCTTGTTGGACATACAGGTCTTCATCACCTTTGAATTTTGAAAGAAAATCTTAGTTACCAATCATGAGAATGTTTTAAAACATGAAAGATAAAAAACAGAAGGATATGTTTTTACATACTGTACATTCGGTAATCTCTATGCTAATTCTGGACTGCAAAGATTTGAAATTAGCTAGATACCAGGGTATTCTTTCGGCTCTTATTGCATTTTAAAATCTTTGAACTACCCTTCTTTTTATGTTCTAAAAGCATCTACACAGAATTACTGTACACTTGACAGGTCAGTACTTAAGCAATAGCAGCCTTCAAGTGAAATTAGGCCTGGATTAGTTTCAAATTGTTATTGTCGGCAGCCTGGCAAAGCGTATTTTCATGAACTGAACTGTTGTTCCTATAATCTCACAGTTGCTTGTGTAAACGCTGCTGATGAAATGAGAAAAAAAACTTTTAAATGGTTGCATTAAACTAGAATCATCAGGCTTGTTTACAATTATTTCTTCAGTAATTTTAAGAGCAGTCTTACAATCCAATTTTCAGTTGAGTATTTATATAAAATCTAATAACGGAAGACCCCTAGGACACTCAGAAAGGAAGCATTTTATCTCACCAAAATATAGGTGCTAGAAATGTAAATGATTACTTTACACTCTCTGCTTTATGCAAGACTAACTCAATAACCCAGAGAAATGTGAGGTATGTAGGGTATAATGGATTCAACGTAGAACATACTGATAATTTTAGCTTTATACAGAGTCTTTCATTAGAGATTACAAGTGCATTTCCATGTTAATAAAACTGTTCTCAATAAGGAACCTGAAATTACATCACTTCCAAAATAGGAAATCGACACAGTCCTGCTTTCTAAACTATAGCAGCTTTTTATTAAATCTTGATCTGTTGCTAATACAATTTAAGCAGTAATCTCTGTGTGTAGTGTTTATTAATGACCCATTACACCTGGCAAACATTGAGTGAAAACCAGTATTTAAAAATAATCCCCAGAACACCAGAGAAGCAGAAGTGGAGAGAGATTAGGAAAATAAGTCATGTATTCAGTAAATTTACTATTCACTCTCATCAGATTTGCTCCCACATCACAAATATTAAGCAATAAGCTAATGACAGACATCAGACTGATTTTATATTAAAAGTGGGAGGAAGGTCTTGTTGAAAGGTTTTTAGAAAATTATGAAAAGTCTTGCCGTCATTTGTCCATTGTAGAACATGTGACTGTAAAAAACCTGTTCTCCTGTTTTCACCAGATGCGTTCATTGTAGTGCTTACTTAGAAATGTACACACCACCCACTTATATTACTACAGCCAATGAAACGTACAGACTTTTTATTCCATGGAGCAGCCTACACTGATAAGGAATCAGTATGTATAAATCCAATTTATCACATGATGCTTCCACGAGAGTTACCTTATTTGATTCATATTTTTTCTAGCATAATAAGATGATGATGATTAGTGTACCATGATAACTGTATTTAAAACTATAGGTTAGTCTTACTTAAACACTGATGACACAAAACGGGATCTGACAAGTATAAATCTGTATTTGATAAAGATTTCATTGTCAATTTCAATCAGGCATCTGAAAAAAATAGCATCTCTGACGAATACAAAGGAAGGAACAGAGTAATATTAAATCGTTTTGAGAGACAAACTATTTCGCCCATTTGCGTCACAGTTTAATGTAAATATTAAATATTGAAAAGACTGCTTATGTATGTTCTGCAAAACATGCTTTAATATAAAAATCAATGGTGCAGCGTCCGAACACTGATTAAAATGAATAGAACTGTCCAGATGTTAGTTACTTCCCTATTTACTGGCAAGGTCAGAACTAAGTGTATGCAGAGGAAGGAACACTCGGGCCTTTTCCCTGAATATATTCCCTGCAACGATGACACATTCCTGTTTACACCACAAAACTCTTCCCTCCTAGTAACAACCACATTACAAAAAACAATGCACCGCAGTTCTCCGTGAAGACCTGTCTCAGTATGTGAGAGAGACGTCTAATATTCACCCTCGCCACGCCAGTAGAATCTTTCTAAATTACTATAATTAGACATTCAGCATTCTTAAACAGCCCAATTCCCCGTTTCGTGAAGTGTACTTATAAGATCACTTTACTGTTCTCATGTAAATTAATTAATTCAATTAATTAAAATACTAGATCAAATATCTGGTAGTCCTTTCTTCTACACGATTGTTATGCTTTATCCTGCGTTATGACATCCCGTATTTGAACTTTTCAATGGCTAAATGCAGAAAATATTCTCTGTGTTGCCTCGTGCAGTAGAAAGAATTAAGTGTCCAAGTCATTGAGATACTAGAATTTCTACGATCTAAATTAAAGATGGGATATAACTACAAGCAGCCCTGTACTACCCTCTTAATTCAAACAGATATGTGAATTTGAGTTCATGCACTTAATGCAACTAGACTCTCTGCAGCATTTAATGAAGTCCCCTCTTTAGTTTTATGCAGTAAAGAGAATTCTGAAAACGTATCAAGGAAAGTCAATATCCCGTTTATTGGTCGTGTTCGATTATAAATAAAAAATAACTTTCTCAAGCCTTTTAGCTACATAATGGAAGATGCTTCAGTCGGAATCCACATTTTTCGCGTGAGCAGCAATGAGAACTGTGCTGTTTAAGCACCACAGCTGCCTCTCACTTTATCAAACGTCTTACCGCAACAGAATAATACATTCAACACTACTGTCACAGGAAACAAGAGTTTTTGTGGTAGGTCATTATTTCCATTTGAGAGGCTGACCTTGCATTTTCCACTGCTTCGAATATGCAACTTCAGTGACTGGCAAGTATGCGACCACTTGTGTACCGGTCGGACTGTTAACACATCTTCATTCTCTTACGATGTAACTCTTAATCCGGCTCATAGGGGACTTGCAAAGTATTGTACATTATCTGCGCTGTTCTCCTCGTGATTCTGACTGAAAATGTCATATCCTTTTTAACTTTTCCATATTCCTGAACGTCCCTCCAAATATTCTTGAAATGCACAAAACTTTTTTTTAAAGTGATGACAAATCTAGCGAACTAATACAGAGCTCAGGGGTTTCCTGATAAATGGCGTGTCAGCACCTGTTTGATCAGTGAAAACGATTCTATAAACCTCTCCATCCCAACCCTACGTGGGAAAAGGTCTTTGTACTCACGTTTAATTGTGTGTTTTGCTTTCGGCCTCCCTCTTTAAGATAGAGAATCAATTTCTGAAAGAAGATATTTGATAAAGCAGTGGACTACTCCATACCCGCTCAGTTTCCGCCTCAACGGAGCGAACACAAATTATTCCAGGTTTAGCTTAAGATAGGTAAAACGCCAATTACTTTTAGTTAACAACTCCAGATCGCGTTTATGTTAAGGAGAGAAATGACAGAACGCACAAGAAAAATGCAACAAATTATCAGTTATTATATTCTCCTGTACTGCGCACCTTATCTAAAACGAGAGGAAAATGTATCCATCTGGTCGGTAATGATTACAAT